TGCAATGTAGGTATTGTTTCATTAATTAATTAATATGAATATCTGCCTTTGTTCCATGCAAAAATTGCATTTTTAACTATTAAAACTTTGTTATGTCAATGAAAATTTAACTGAACTGTTAACTAATAGGAAAATCCTGATTAAAAAAAGCAAAAATTCAATTTCACGCCCATAAGCAAAACAAACGTTGCATATCGCTTCTCCACCCTGGCAGACGCTACGGCTATTCCGACTTACAATTATCAGTTTTAAAAGTTCATTTCAAAACGAAAAAAATTAGGTAAATTTCCCTTTAAACTTTTCCCTAATTTGACCGACATTGTATCTCTTAAGATACAGAAACGCCAATGGTGAGGCTCGAAAAAACGACCGCTCGGTATAGCCACTGGGACTATATTTTGTTCTATTTGCTTTGTAAATATATTAGTCATGTGGTTAAATTTTCAACATAGCAAAATCTTATACGCATTTCAGTTTTGATTGTTTTGTACAATGTATTGTACTGTAAAAGCGTTAAATATAGTTTAATGTAGCTGTTGCTTCCTCTTGCGCATTGCGGAGGAGTATTTTTATATACATCGTGTTCCAACGCATTTATTTTTTGGACAAGTACGTAAGTCATATAACAGATATACGAATATATTTAATAAATTATTGAAATCTTAATTCAGAATTTTATTGTTGTAACCAAACTTATAAGGTATATATACCAAACGAGGGATATTACCGTAAATCTATACAGTATGTTACTTTAATGTTCTTGTAGTGTGGTACAGGGTCAAGAATCGTATATGCGATTCTTGGTACAGGGTGACCCTGAACTGACGGTTGCCCTCCATTACATTAAAAAGGAAAGAGCAAATAGGAAACCTTAAGCGAGGATCTTTATGACTTGTATTATACAAGTATAAGTGTTTGACTTAAAATTCCATTTTGGCCTACGGGCTATGACGTTTCAAAATTTTTTTCCCAATTACACACGTATTTTCTAACTTATGCATGTGACAAGATATTTTCAATGATTATATTCTTTATTTATTTGTTTCTATGTTTCTATAAAGTCTTACTGTCTTTACTACTACTATCTTTCCGAGCTTATCCAAAAGTTAAATTATATTACTTACAGTATAGTAGTTATCCAGTGATGGAGGCCAATCATCAGTTTTGGATCACATAGTCAAAAATGCCGAGGTGAATTCACTGTGAACTCACATTTTCATCGGAATTCGTCGTATTGGCAATTCGTATCTATTTTAATTATTGTAATTTTGATGTATTTTTGTCCAATGTATTTATCGCAATGTCCTGTATTCAAATGATTATTGAGTCTGCAATGTAGTATTATTATATCCTACTGTTATCCTTATTAACTTGCTGCCTTTGATTCTGTAGGTCTGTCATTAATTACTTCTATAAACCGTTTAAAGGCTTTTTGGCTTGCCTCTGCCTACAGGTTCCTTGCCATCATTTTCGGGTCTTATCTTTTGCTCATTCCTGCATGAGTATCTCTTATAATAGTTAGTATATTCTTAGTAATACAGTTAGCAATGCCGCAGAAGGATTCAGGCTCTCGTAGGTCTGTAGATTAGCCTGCTTTTGCCCCTCATACTTTGATACTCGAGCCGCAGAGGATATTGGGTCTTCTGTGCTCAAGCTAGAGTCACGTTGTTCTGACTTCTAGTCTTAACGAAGCTTTCAGACAGTTCAATACCAACCTGAATTTGACCTGATATGAAATGTCACCTTTACCGCTAAGTGACTGTCACAGTAGGTAGTAATTCTTTGGTTTTTAATATCCCTTCCTATTAATTTTGCTGCATAGTATCCATGACCACCACCTCATGGCATGCATTCCTTAGTGGGACTTGTACCCTTCTCTTAGCTTCATACATTCCGGCTGCCTTCTTTTCTGATATCATTTTAAAATTATTTTATAAGCTTAGGGTCAAGTGTGGCATTGGCATTCCTAAAATTATACATGTACCCCATGCATTCAGCAAGTCCTCCAGAGATGCTAGCCTTTGATTATTACTTAGGAGTTTTTCCAACCCACTTGTAACATCTTCGGCCACTATATTAATATTGGCCCTACGACCTTTATGTATAAGTGTATAACTGTAGTGCTATTTTACGGCTGATACTTAATTTTTGATGTACCTTCCAAAAGTTATTCTGATTTCCTAGATTTGTCAAGCATTCAATTAGCTTTATACCAGCCAAAAATTTGATATATTACGAACTGATTGCTTATCTCAATATTACTTCTGTTGTACAGTATTCAGTGACTATCACCCCCATCTGAAAAACTACATTTTTTGGGGGATTTGAACTTTCTACTTAGTCCCATATATTTCAGCTGTTACGACTGTATCTGTCTTTGCGCAATCCATGTATAAAGTCATTATTTAGTAGAAGCAGAAAATTTTCGAAGCTAGGGACTAAAAGAAGTCAAATTTTAAATAAAACTAATTATTTCTACAATTTTCCCGATGCATTACCGACAATGATCGCTTCTTTCCTTGTCCTCATAGCTGAGTAAAATATAAGTGTTATAAATAAATCAGATCAAAGTAGTCTTTTTCAGATTTTTTGCAGCTATAACATTTTTTCCTCGAAAAATTTTATAAGGACAATTTTATGAGCACAAACAATTGAAGTACCGAGAATCTGTATATAAAAACATTGCAAAATCTTATTTCGTTTCTGTAAAATCGTATGTTATCTAAGTTTTTCTGTATGCAATAGTTTAAAAAAAAGCGATCAAAAAATTAATATAAATAGGTTATACATTTAAATAATTACCTACTATTATCAACTTGATTCGAAAAAGGATCACTTCTTACATATTTCTCGCTGTTAAAGCTTAGTAGAGAATGATTTTAAATATGAATACTAGAGCTTTAAAATAGGCCAAATAATATCAATATGTATTTTTTGTGAGTCGCCTGACGATGTCTCCGGAAGCTTTGTGGCTATTATGTTGATTTTGTTTGTATTAGAACAATTTTTATAGAATATTTCAAAATACAAACGATTAGTTACTGTGCCTAAATACTGTTATACCTACTACTTATATTTGCATAATAACAATAACATTTGATATTGATTATTTATTTATCTTGCAACATTCATCAAAACTCAGTTTTCCTGCGTTGCAATGTTGTATATGTTAATGGTTGTAATTATTGTTATTTAATTACGAATTTGCGTCACACTGAAAATAAAAAGAAAAAATATAAATAAATAATCTCTTGCACAAAAAGCATTAGCCAGAAGGTTAACCGAAATTTAAAGTTTAAATTTCGATTAATTTAAGGTTTCGATGGGTTAAATTTATAATTTATAAATTTAAATTTTGTTTAATCACAAGTATCTCCCACTAAAAAAACTAAACATTATAACACATGATAAGTTGTTAACGTTACAAAAAAACTGTGTGTTTTAGTTGTCAAAATGATTGAAAGTATGTAGGTAAGACATACTACTAATATTTATTTTGTTGTTATTCACCTCGTCATTTAAAATATTCAACCAACAATTTATCAATATTTAACGACTGATTTCTTTTCCCAAAATGTTTAAGTTGTTACGAGTATAACAGACTGTGTTGCCGCACAAGCTCAATTTTTTATTTCTCAATTTCTCTTTTTCTCATGTAGTTCTATTCTAACATTTAAAACATTGGTTATACAAGGTGATTAGTAAATGAATCTACACAGGGCAGGTGCGTGTAGGGAACCTTAAATATGGTATTTTACTTTTATATCAAATTGCCTCGTTTAGCCGCTAGATGACGTTAGGAAAAATATTAGTTCTTTTTATTAGAAGAACTAAAACGCTTTGTCCGATTTAAATAAAATTTCGTATGTTAATAATTATTGTGCTTAGATACCACTTTTTGACATAGTAAACGAAGTAATTGCATTTTCAGAGCTAAGAAAATTACCCCCACCTCTAAGCAAAAATGCTCATATTTCAGTTCTTAATTTAATATAAAGCAATGACCTTTTTCAAGTTTTTTTCTCTCTTGAAACAATTTCTGTATGCGTAACGCTTTTCGCGTAATTAATTGTTTTATTAGTTATCATAAACATATAAGTCAGATTTAACTGTCATCGGGGATTTGATTTATTTGGAAATAAAAACGAAACGAATTTGAGAAGTTTAAATTGCATTTCATGAAAATCGATGGAAATGGTCACGAATCGCGTTAATTTCGGATTTTCCTTTTTCTGCAAATTATCTTTGGTGTTTGCCATCAAATTCACCATTCAATTCAATTGACAATGCCATTCAATTCACTATAATAATAATTATTATTATTTTTAACTGAATATTAATAATGATGATTATTACCAAAAAATTCTCGTGAAAAAATATTTAATTTAACATTTATATTTTGTACAAGGTTTTATTTCGTTTTTATTATGAGGCTTATTTTTTGTACGACAATTTGAGAAATCTAAAATTTGCAGGCGTATCATGTTATTAATTGGAATAACACAAGTATTTTAGCAAAAGTGTGTTACATACAACTATATCATAAAGGCATAAAACATATAATGAGCAGTCGCGTTCCTTGTATCGTGCTTGTTTGGCAATGCCTTTATTGCGATATTACGAACCAATATCTCGTAGAAGCATTCGCCTAGGCCATTTGCGGGGTTATAAGGGATCAAGGGGATCAGTCGTTGTTTCAAATCATTAATTGGTTAAATATTCCCATCAACGAGATTGTCGAAATGTTAACATGTTGTCATATGTTAAAGTTGTGCTTGTAGTATAAGCGTTGGCAATTATCTATTTTTTCAATGCGAATTATTTGTGGTTAAGCAAAACCAAATTTATAAAATTAACCCCTTAACAGATCTTTCTACGCAAGCGGTTGTTTATTTAAAACATCTTTTCCTTTTCAGTGTGGAGGTGTTTTTCCCTCTGTTGTTTTGGTTAACCTTGTATTTGTCTTTTGTAATGTTGATGTTGTTTCACCTTTGTTGTAGCCGTACCGTACCACTCCTTTGGTACTACCAGGTGCCAAAGTAAAACGGGAACCAGGACCCACCGAGAGTTATCTCCGTCACCATCCTAATCCTTCTGTTAGAGCTCCTCCACACCACCTAGACACGGATCACCTCATAAAACAGAAGGTAGTAAAACGTTTTCTTTTGCATCCAAAGTAATGAATATAATATATTTATACTGTAGTTGGTAACCCTGAAATAAAAGCATAGGTAATAAATAATAATGATAAATGGGTAATTTGTTAGATCTGAGGGCGTCGATCGCAATGCCCCCTAGCTCCTGAAGACCTATAAACGTCATAATTTGTGGATAAACGTCAGCCCTTACCTTGATTTTCGCGCAGTTTTTCAAAACATTACTACTATTTGAATTAAATTTAGTTTATATATCGTCCATATTAAAGTAGTATGAAATAATTAATTTTTTTATATAAAATCGACATGCATTTTAATAAAATTAAACGATTCATTTTTGTGTCCTTTTGTATCAAAGTCAGTTTGGGTAAATATATGATTTTTCTAACACAAAATGAACAAATAGCCTCGTGATCGTAATTAATCCATAAATTATATCATTAGTATATCTACCTACATTTAAAACGTACCATTGGAAAAGGAGTGTACGTGTGTCTTAATTCCACTCAGATATTTAAATAGATTATCTTGACCTTAATGTTATTTTCGGATGGTACACATTTGTTATTTGTGTTACATTATTTGAACACCGATCCATTTGAAATGAAACGATTTTAATTGAAGTCGTGAATTAATTAATTATTTTAGATACAGGGGTAAAGCTGCGAATAAAGCTAAAGATACAGGGAATGCATTTATTTGTACTCATAGGATGTGACTAAAACGAACGGCCAAACATTAATGGCGGATTCTATAAAGAAAATTAACAAAAAAAGTTGCTATAAATATATATGTCCGAAAATGTTTCATTTTTGGGATAGGGTGTCCAATATCGATAAAAGACATGATCTATTTTAATTCATAAAAGATAGTTCAGAAAATCCAAATAAATAATAGATAACGTAGCTACAAAGTAACTCAATGTATTGGCTATAATTGGTATGATGTCATTTATATCGAAAATGGTACAGCCTAAAGAAATGAAATGAGAAAACATATTATTTTCTTTTCATAACAATGGGTATCAACTTTGAAAGAGCTTGGAAGAATATGATTAATAAAAAAATTATCACGCGAGTCCCCAGAACTACGCCTTTGTATATAAAATTGTGACGCATATATGTTTGTGGATAATATTTTAAATTAAAACGCTTCTACGGTTTTTTGTTATTTTGAAATTCATACTTTATTTTCACTCTTTATCTCAAAAACGAAGCATTTCTGTTTATAGGAACTTTTTTCGATAATTTTTACCGTAGATTCAGATTTGGTCAAGTGTTTTAGATGCATCTGGTTTATGAACATACCATTTGTTATCAATATCGTATACAGGGTGTGCCATTTAACACTCCCGCTGCCAATATCTCCGAAATGAAGAAATTTATTTTAGTTCCGGAAACTGGGGTTGTTAGGTCCCTCGAATAGCTTCAAATTGTAGTTAGAACTGTTAGTTCGAATCTTTCTGTATAGATGGCATGGCGATACTAAAAAATTTGTTGATCTCTGGAATGTGGAAATGCAGTCCATCTGAAAGATCGTTAAATTTTGAGTAATTTTTATAATATAAAGTTTTCCCTATATTTACTTGTTTTGGAGATATGTCGACTTCAATATGCAATATATGATATAACAGGAAAATTTATTACTTTATCTAAATCACGCCGAGACAAAATATTCTTTTAAAATATCGTTATAATGACTTTATTCACACCACATACTAACTAACAAACATTAATTATAAAAAAACAAATCAACTACAGAAAAAAAATTGTACACTGGTAAATCGTATAACTAATATAGTTAAATTGAAAGACGCAAACTGATAAAACTGTAATTATTGGAAAACTAATATGTGTCATCTGTCATTGTTTTATTTTAAGCAAATGACATGACCCACCTATGACTGCATTTTTAATAACATTTGATAAAATGCGGTTTGTCTCTGACCCTTATAATATTTACCATTGTACTTTTTTTTTCTGTAATTGATCATTCGTTTTTTTTACATATTTATTGTTTGTTAGTTAGTATATGATGTGAATAAAGCTATTATAACAATATTTTAAAAGAATATTTTGTCACCGTGTGATTTAAATAAAATAATAGATTTTCCTGGTATATCATTCATTGCATATTGAAGTCGACATATCTCAAGCAAAAGTAGGGAAAAACTTTATATTACAAAAATTACTCGAAATTTAACGATCTTTCAGATGGACTGTATTTCCACGTTCCAGGGAAAATTTTTTTAGTATCGCCACGCCATCTATACAGAAAGATTTGATTTAATTTTTTTTTACTAACAATTTGAAGCCATTCGAGGGACCTAACAACCCCAATTTCCGAAATTAAAATAAATTTCTTCATTTCGGAGATATTGGCAGCGGGAGTGTGTATAGTAGAAAATTAATTTTTGTAAGTACACTCAAAAAACTATTATCTTCAGTCAGTCTTTTGTAGGTATACAGGGTGGTACGAATTTTATGCAGAAAACTTCGAGGCCAGATAAATCTCTTTAAAATAATATGTTTGCCTTATAAACAGAGGTCTAGGCCCTCTTTTTAGAGATACAGGGTGTTAAAGTTGGTTATTAAAATGTGGGTTGTTCGCATTTTGAACAGTTGTTGTAAATACGTAACGTTAGTTTTGTTTCTTGTTTAGTTGCTGTTGCTTGGTAAATATATTTTTACTATCATTTTGATTTAAATTGTTCTTATTTGTAAAGAGAGGCCTCCAGGGAAAACTAAAACACGCTAGGAACCTACCTCACAGGTGGTGTGAGGTAGGTTCCTCTTTTTAAGCATAAACTTTTAAGCATAAACATAAATATTCTTGTAATAGAAGTGTCTGTCACAAGGGGATTGTATTGGTATGAATAACTTGAGAACACCGAATCTTAGCGAAAAAATTAAAGTCACCTTTTTACATATTTTGTGCATTAGAATATAAATCAGTTATAATGACTTGTAAAAAATGCAGTGGCGTAGTTTTTTTTTGTAAAAAAAAGAGGTGACCCTTGTCCAGTTGTACACCATTGGTTGAACTTTTAAAGCCCATATTTTAGGAAATATAAGGCCTATTGCCATACATTATCTGTATCAAATTTAAACAGATATAAACAAAAAAATTTTTTTTTAACAACTTCAACACCCTGTATCTCTAAAACGGGGCTGTTCCAGACCAATGTTTATAAGGCAAGCACATATTATTTTAAAGAGATCTATCTGCCCTCGAAGTTTCCTGCATAAATTTCGGACCACCCTGTATAATGAGATCAAATAAATATTAATTTAAACCAAGGTATTTTACCTACTTAATTCAGTTTTATAAAATAAATCTACAAGTTTTTTATTCAAGATAATATTTTTTTTCAGTGTAATGATATATACGATAACTAGACATATTTTTTTACTTTAATCCAATGTCAACTATTATCCGTAAATAATTGTGATAAAATTTTTTTTTTTTGTATAAAAATTATTTAACTGAACTTATAAACTATTTTAAACATTTTTTGCAATAATTTTTTCTCTGAAAAATACTTATATTTAACAGGTAGCCAGCTCAGTGTTAGAAAGAATATCGACCGGTGATCCAAATAAACAGGTTGTTATCTGTTCATACGTGTTGTGTTTTGAAGAACCTTAAAGACAGGTTTATTTTGCTGTTAAAGACACATAAATACTTTTTCCACTTTTCTTTTTAACACAGTCATGGAAAATATCATTGATCTGTTAAATACTTTGAACATACTTTAATTTTCTCTTCTCAAGAATAACAACTTTCACTACACACAAAAAAATAAGTACAGTATATAGTTGACACAAACAAACCTACACCAATACATACATGTTGTAACTTGTAACAGGGTTTGGAGTTGCATGCCACTAAAAGAATGTATTGTATTTGAAGTTTTGAATAAAAAGTATACATGCAAGAATAAAAGTTCCATTTCCAATTTTTAACAAAATTATTATTATTATTAGAGAACAAAATTATTACAAACTTTATAATTGAAATGGTTACTAAAATATAATTAATACTTTGTAATACAAGGTGTATAAGTAAACAGGACCTTCAAACTAGTCCCTTCCGAATGAATACAGCTAATTTGTGGGCGTACAAGCCTTTTGGATGGCTTCTATGCCCACAAAACTCTTTCCTTTCATGGTTAAATGAATTTTTCCGAAAGGTAAAAGGCACACGATTCCAAATCAGGCGAATAAGGGGAGTGGTTGACAGTTAAAATGCGATTTTTAGTCAAAAAATCGGTTACAAGTGCGATCAATGAGATGGCGCATTATCGTGCAACAAAAGCCAACTTTCCGCTGCGGGATATTCTGGCCGAATAGGACGAATACGTTGCACCAAACACTTCAAAACGCCAAGATAGAATTGTGCATTAACGGTTTGGCCCGGTGGAACGAACTCTTTGTAGACAATCACCTTGGAATCGAAAAGGTAAATCAACATTGTCTTCACTTTTGGCTTCCAGATTTTTTGGGTTTTGGTTCCTCTGGCGTCTTCCACTCGGCACTTTGGCGCTTGGTTTCTGGATCATATTGAAAACACTACGTTTCATCGCCAGTCTCAATGTTGTAAAGGAAGCTTTTGTCCTTTCTGATCTCCTTGATGATGTCCTTCAAATGTTGAATTCTGAGCAATTTTTGGTCGTCAGTCAACTTGTGCGAAACAAACCGTGCACACACTTTTCGGTAGCCCAAATGTTCTGCCAAAAAGCGATTTTATGTTTGTAAGATACTCAATTCCAATTTCATGAATATCAATGGAGATTCAGGCACAGTTTTGATGGAATCTGCGGTTATTACGGATTTCGATTGGCCAACATGTTGCTCATAATTTATGTCCTCACGACCATTTTTAAAAATATGAGCCACGGAATAACAATGACCATAAACTTGGTTCATCAATTGAAACGTTTCGGTAAAAGTTTTACCAAGTTTAAAACGAAACTTATATTAGCTCTTTGTTCGATGCTCATTTTTGTACCGATGACACAAACATACTGTCACTACAGACGCAATAAATCCGCTTCTAATCGTCCAAATGTCATGACATTTTGATAGTTAATCAGTGAGGGATCTACCTTTCCAACGCATGTAATTGTCAATAGATGGCTTCACTAGAAATACCTATTTTTAAAAAGTTCTGTTTACTTTGGAAGGCACCTTTTAAATTCGAATATATTGATTTCAAACGCGATTATATTAAATAACTTAAAAAATGCAAAACTATTATTCGATTTCAGAAGTGTGTATACTTTTTATTCGTGGGGTTTAATAAATATTGTTCACAAGTTAAAATCTAAACAATTTTTGGTTTTACATAAGGTTCTCGACCACATCTTCACAAATCAAAAGAACAATGAAATTTACCAATATACTTCTCGAATACCTATACCAATAATATTTTAGCTTGTGAATATATCGAGTGAAACTTTAAGTACTTGAAACAGTTAACACCACTTGTTATTTTAGATATTGAAGCAATAAAAATATTCCTGCCAGATCTATTAAATGCTGCCAATTTTCTCAAGTATTTTAGTCGTATTTCTTAAATAAATAAATACCGTATGTTCATTTGAAAATGTTCCATTGCAGTATGTTTGAAAGTACTGAGGTCTGTTGAAATTAATTTAATGTAAAATATCTAAAAACTCAAGATCTTACCATCATTTTTTCGTTATTATAAAATATGAATCAATATTCAAAATGTTAGTTACAAGTGCATTTTTAAATAACGTTGTGCTGCAAAACATTCAAATGAATATTACGTGTACGTATGGCAATTTTTCGAAAGTTTAGTTTCTTATTGTTCTTTATTATAGCTGGTCCACAAACAGTTCAACTCTCCCATTAATCTATACAGTGAGCCGAATGTAGTTGACACAATTCATAAACAGACAGGACTACAACCGTAAGTAATATTTAGAAATGCACACTAGATTTATAATGATATTCCACATTTACATTTGTGTTAATTATTTTTTCTATTGAAAAATGAGAGGTACTCGTATTACAAAGCTGTATAAAATATGTATATTTAGAATTTTGAAACTATTTTTTAAAAATATTTTATTAGTAAATTTATACTCGACAGAGACTTAACAGCGTGGTGTAAATTGATAGTTCATTTGTCTGCCTTCTTTTGGACATATCTCATTTACTTTTAGAAATAGTTGTTTAAATCCGCCTATCAAAATTTTCATGAAATATGTAACATTTTATAGATATAAGCAAAGATCTACCTTATAGTCTTCTAAAAATTATTGAAACGACTCGAAATTTCATTTTTTAAATATACTCATAGTAAAAGAAACTATTATCTAAAATTATTTATTTGTAGCATCATTTTAATTGTGCACTATTTAGTTGTGTGTTTCATTGCCTGTGAAAGAATGTAAAAACAAAAGGATCAGTCAGGTTGTTTTTATGAAACTATTTTTGCCTAACCAAAACAATATGCTTCAGTATAGGTACGTCACTAACTGGTAGTGACTTTCTATTACTAGAGATAACTATTTTATTAGATTTATTATGTATTTAACATTCAAAGACGTAAAGATGTAATACTGTATTAAAGGAGAATTAAAAGAAGTCGCGATTAAATTAAACTTCTTTGACATTGAAGAATGCAAAAAAAATGTCGAAATTTTGAATGAACAAAATAATTTCATAAAAACAGTATTCCACTGCCTTTTTACGTTTCATATGATGAAATGGTGAATGCGCCAATATTATAAGAGAAACAATAACTACGGTTTCAAATACATATTTTTTAACAGAAGCAAAGTTTACCCCAAATATTACTACAGCAAAGGAATATTATCTGTAGAAGTAACGTCTGATGCAACTGTGCTTAAGACTTATTGTTAAGAATTTAAGTAGCTAATTATATACCAATGAGTTTACCTTTTTACTTACATTATCTAAATAAACTAACTTACCCATCTGTACTAGTATATACGGTAGCTTATGAAACCAACCTATCAAAGAAAAAAGAACTTTAGAAGCAAACTTAGTGAGAAAATTGGGTCCAATAAATAAACATTCCTTGTAATAAAAGTAGCGTTTGTTTAAATTTATGACGAGGCTGAGAATATACGGGTATATATTCCAGAAACAAAATACTCTACCAAAATATATGAAAATTGTGGAAAATTTTATGGAGCGGGCGATTATCTGTCTAAAAATAGAATGTGGGAATACCACGTAAACATTATAAATAAAATATTGGCAACGTTAGATTTTCTGCATCAACAAAAACGTTTATTCTCACTGTGATCAGTTTTTCAAGTGAATTTTGTAATAAACAGAACTTATTCTACAATATAACAAAGAGTACAGCCTTGAGCAATTATAGTTTAGGAAAGAAAAAGATAAAATCATTCATTTTTATTTTGTTAGGGTTAATATATTTATACAATTTATGGTTTTATCCACAATAGCTTATATTTTTTTACTTTTATAATATCCTTTATATAAAAACATTATTTCATAAGTCTGACTGCGACTTATTAATACAAGATGTATACAAAATTGAACAAAGAATCATATAATCTTGAAAAACTTTCAATTTTTCAAGTACGTTCTTGACTTCCGATTCTAACTTGACTTGATTTCATCAAATCAAGTACTTTGAATTCTGTTCCTTATGAATTTTTCTCAAAAAATATTTTAAGCAACCAAAGATCGTGTGCCGGTGGCTGTAACAAACGTGGTTATGTTTTTTAGACAAGTTCGTAGACAGGTAAAATTCAATCCAGCAGATAGCGAGACCTACAAGGCTCTCCAGGAGGACTCACTGGGCGACCACGTGCAAGAAGTGGCTGTTCCTCCTCAAAGTAAAATTTATGCACCTAACAAAGCTATTCCCGCCAAGGTAAACAACAATTATTAGCTTCGTTAGCTTCGCCAAGTACGTTTTGCCCTGCTTTAGATATAAATAGCGTAAGATGCATGCTCTGTTTACTAACACATCAAATTTTTCAAGGCGGTTTCTAAAACAGTAAATAGTGAAAGATGAAATACTTATTTTAAACACCATACAACTCTGCAGTTGCTTGTTAACGTCAAGTTATTACGTGTGCAGATAAAAATATACATTGCATTGCAAACAACCAAAATATAAAAAAAAACTGCGTTGTTTTTTTTTAATTAGGATCCGTATCTTAGTTTGTGTGTTTTATTATTTACTTACTAATACAAATCAACGTTGATTTGAATGTCATTCACTAATTTTTGTTAATTTCAGCTTTTGAAATCTTAAGTGTAACTTCTTAGGCCAGGAAAAAGAGATGGAAAATTACCATTTCGCGACTTTTTGTTTCGGCAAGCTGAATTTATCATTATAGATGCTAAATATTGTGTACAATAACATATTAGTTTCCACAGTCATAAAAATGGGGGGAAGTTTGTTTACAGGCTGGTTAATTGTATAATTTTTACGCAAATTCACGTTTTTCGCTTATAACTTATTTCCGTTCATTTCCACGAGAAAACAGTAAAGTACTTTTTTTTCGTCTTCAAGGCCTACGAAACTAGCCCTCGAGCGTCAAAAAATATTGATTAGATCAAAAGTTATAAATAGAAAAAAATTATTTATGACTTTTGCATTAAACATTTATAAACTGCATTATTATTACCAGAACGTTTTGGCATCGCATCCTCTCATTCCTTATCACTGTCTAATAACTCACACGAAATCTGGAATCGGTAAACAAATTAACTAATTATTAGTCTGGACGATTCCGAACATCTTCCACAATCGCACTGATTTTTTTCATGGTAGATTTCTTAATAACACATTGAAATTTATCAATTTTTTTTAAATTTCAAATTTGCAACCTGGAAAGTTTTTTTATTTTTTAGCCTTAGTTGCAAAATGACGACGCACGCGCGTGGTATAGTTATATATTATTACATATTCGGAAAGCTTATGAAAAAAGCTTTAAATTAAAAAAAAATGTCATGATTCGTTGAAAAACAGTTACAGACTGTCAAAGTTGACGGCCGATTGTTAAACAAATTAATTTGGTAGCAGCAAAAAAAAATACTGTCATAACCGGCAACCCGAGTACATTCCCAGATAAAAATATTTTATTTGTGGATGTGCATAAGAAATATTGTCAAAAGTCAGTGGGTCGCGGCGGAAGGGTGGGATGGGAGAAGCGAACAACAGCGAGTGTCCAAAGAAAATGACGATAATATTCATAGTCCTGCCGTTAAAAAAGCGAAATTCGCTTGAAAATAATATATTTGATAGTCTGTAACTCCGTTGTTTTTCAACGAATCTTGACGATTTTTTTTTAACTTAAAGATCTTTTCATTAGCTTTCCGAATATGTCAATATATCACGCGGGTGTGTCGTATATTTCATTTTGCAACTAAGGCCAAAAAATAAAAAACTTTACAGGTTGCAAATTTGAAATTAACAAAAAAATGATAGATTTCAATGTATTATTATGAAATCTACTATGAAAAAAATCAGTGCTATTGTGGAAGATGCTCGGGATCGTCCAGATTAATAATTAGTTAATTTGTTTATAAGACAACTTACCGATTCCAGATTTCGTGAGAGTTATTAGACAGTGATAAGGAATGAGAGGATGCGATGCCAAAACGCAGTTTATAAAAATGTTTATTTCAAAAGTCATAAATAAACTTCTTCTGTTTATAACATTTGATCTAATCAATATTTTTTTACGATCGAGGGTTAGTTTTGTAGGTCTATTGAAGACGAAAAATAAAAGTACTTTTACTGTTTTCTCGTGGAAATGAACGGAAAAAAGTTATAAGCGAAAAACGTGAATTTACGTAAAAATTATACAATTAACCATCCTGTAAACAATCTTCCCCCCATTTTTATGACTGTGGAAACTAATATGTTATTTTACATAATATTTATCATCTATAGTGATAAATTCAGCTTGCCGAAACAAAAAGTGGCATCCAACTCTATATTTCCTGGCCTTTCTACTCGTTTGAGCACATAGTAAAAATATTCTACTAAAAACTCTACTGAAAACATTGTTCCCCAGATTTCGTAATTTCGTAATTTCTTAAAACTTTTGTCCTGAGATATTTTAAAATTTATGTATCACATAAATTAATTAGAAAATTGTTTACAAAATTTTAAGTCGTGATTTTTTGACATATTCGAGGTTATGTTAGATGGATAGGTAAATTTTTTTGCTAAAACCATCTTAACTCCAAAATACTCTATCGCATCAAATTTTGCAATAAACTTTTGAAAAATGTCTAAATTTTCGATAGGTAAGTATCTGGCCGATATTTTACGCATTAGGTATATCAATCTGGGAATATATTTACACGGAAAAGAGCTCGAGCTCATGAATTCTAAGCCCAAAAACCCTAAGGCCATAAATCCATAAAGTTTGTGATGCTGTGTGCTGTGTTGTGAGTATATTCAAAAATCGAGAAATAACCACAAAATTTCAACACGCGATTTCTCAAAGACGAAAAATGACATCGGGATAAATCCAAGTGCGTTTTAAAGAGTAAGTATAGTACTTTGAGACCCCATTAATGGTTTCATCAAAAAATTTACCTTTACATGTAACATAACATCAAATATGTCAAAAAATCGCGATTTTGGCAATTTTAGGTTAGGATATCTCGAAAACCAGAGCCATTTGAGAAATTTGAACCTCGGATTCAAATTCAACACACCAAAATCCTTTAGGAAAGTATATTCCTGTTGTTGGGTTAAAATCCTGTCGGTCTGTGTTATTGAATTTCGGAGATACCATTTTGAACAACTTTTTTAAAACCATTTATAATTCTAAATTTATGCAACGTATAACCTTTACAAATTACTAATTTGTACCAGAGGTCACTTGCATTCACAATTACACAATTTTCAAAAAAAAATACATTAACTCCTATATCTCAAAAACGATGGGCAATAAATAAATTTATAACGTCAGATTTTTACAATTTTGCTTCCTTAAACAATTACGGGTTTCCAAACAAAAATAATTTCCTCCATTTTTTAAACATAACTGATGCAAACTGTTAGGTTTTTTTTAGATATTGAAATGTGGTTTAGGAAAGTTTTTGAATAAACAAGCCCGCAATTTTTAAGGAATCAAAATTGTATTTATGATAACTTGGTCTTGGTTTATTTTCTTCCGAGGAAGATATCCCGTGAAGTGTGGCTGATTTGCTTTCAGACACACTTTTTAATAATAGTACCTTTATTTTTGCTGCATCTATGCTTACTAATGTAGAAGTGTGTACTCAATTTGAAATTACTTAAATTTGAAAAAAGTAGTTTCTTTATGAATGATCCTAACACTCAAAAATTTAAATAAAAACCAGATAATATGATGCTTTTTAATATATTTTAATACCTGCCTATTTATTTTGATATATTTTATAAAAGTCGATTACGTTACAAGTTGCAAATTCATCAAAAAAATTCTTGTATAAAAATACATTTCGAAGTAACGGTGATTACGAAAATAAAGCATGCTACCCAAAAGAGTTTCAGTGTTAATAAAAATAGATTTAGTGTTTGCATTTTGTTTCTGCATTTTATTTTTTAGAAAAAAAAATTATTATTACTAAAACCACAGTTTTTAAATGTATAGAATAAATGATTAGATTAGAAAAATGCCATTTGTAGAGGAAAACGATATTTGTTGAAACTTTCATGAAATTGCAACAATGTTCGGTTTCTTCCGAGTCATTCTAACTTGCCGTTCATGTGAGCAAGGCCGTATTAAGAAACAGGTGATTGAACTTCAATATATTATTACAGAAACCAGCATACGTAGTGAATCAAAATCCCCAGTATGGTAATTCCCTTGGCGAATCCGACATCATCCAGCAAAGCGGATCCTTCAAGAGGCTGATGTGGAGCGTCCTCCCTGGCAGCAACTACTAAGCCTTCGCCTTACTATTAACACTAAAAGTATGGAAATGAGTGTGGATCATGAATTATTCCAAAAAAAGGAATACTTCACGGTCGCCCTTTTAAAATTTCGAACCACAAAACGACGAATATTTTAGAAATGTTCGACAAATATTTTTATTTTAAATATATCTTTCAAATTAATCATTTGTAATGTGAATATCTGAGAAGCAAATACGTAGAGCCATTCAAGGGCAAATTTATTACACGGATGAATTTGATTGGTATGACTAAATGATATTATACTTTTTCTTACATTTACTAGAGCTTTTAGCTTTTAATTCTATGTGCTTTTGAGATATCTCCTTATTTGCATGTAATGCAAATGATATTTGATTTCTATAGATTTTACATAGAACTATTTATGTTGTATTTATTGTTTTATTTTAAAGGTTTATTCAACGAGTGTACTCTAGTCAAATTACATAGAGATAAGTCTTTATTAGATTAAGCTGAACACTTCTTAAAACTTGTTAATACCCATACCTTACCTTAATTATTCTTATATTATCAGCTGATTAAATCTTAAAATGTATATGTAATAAAATCGGGATTGTTGTTATTGTACACATTATATTTATATTATTATTGTTACTGCATAAATATATATTTTATGAGTATTCTGAATTTAGAGCCCTGCCTATGACCAGTCTTCTAATTTCAGACGTCCCTCCTCCAATTTCATACAATTTTGCATCTCTCAGCAGCCTTCCCGTCGGATAATCGTTTATGTAGCCGTTTCCACCTAGAAAATATAAATTTTTTTATCTTAATAAATAAATTCCTATCCTAACCCGAAAGCTAAGGATAATCTTTAACAAAAAGAAAGGTCATTGCTTTCTTTAGTATAAAATCTTCTGGAAAGTGTTAAATAAAAAGTTATTCATAATATCTGGATAACAAAAATTTTACTTTACAAACTTTATTCGTGTGAACGACGTGAGTGCCAATTTGTAAAAAGTGTCTAAATTTTCTTTGACCTTTGCTGTCAATAAAACCCAATAAATTTATTTTCTAAGAATGCAGAGCTGGTCGAATTTGTTCATAACAAAGAAAATTTATGTCACTGTGACGTCCGATGTCGCAACGACTGGGAAACAGTTTCTGGACAATCATGACAGCGTGTGCGATATTTTTAATGACGCCCACGCGTACACACTTGCCTAATATTTGAATTGCATCCAAAGCCATTTGCGTTGCTTTTTCGCCGCAGTACAAAAGTACACCAGCGCAATCTTTGCTGTTCACTCTTTTATTATCACATGCTCTTGCCACGCTGTATAAATAACTCCTGCAGGCGCTCAGGGTTACGTACATGTCTGCTAATTTTCCCTGAAACAGAGGTACAGGGTTAAAGGGCATATAATAAAATCCCATAAACAGCCACAGAAAACTACAGAACGACATTTGCATTTCTATAATTATATATTATTGTAACTGTTGCCTTGCTATTTATTTAATTTTTTTATACAATGTGTTTTAAAAAAGTGTAAATAGTTTTAAATGTAAGGAATACTCCAAAAAATAAGATAGTAGTTCATATGATACAGTGTTAAAGTAAAAAAAAAAATTTTTGTGTATATCTTCCGAAAGGGTTGTCCAAATCTATTTAAATTTGATACAGGATATTCGATAATAAATCTGCACTATTTGAACATGGCGATGATCACTGGTGGACATGATTCCTGTGGTTCAGTATGAATAGACATTTCGCGAAGATTTTGGCTCGCTGAAATGCTCGATGACCTAAGGTTTTTGAGATATCCTAATCTAAAAGTGCAAAAAACGCGATTTTTACACATATTTGAGGTTATATAATAACATTAGGTAATTTTTTTTACAAAAGTAAGAATAGCATCTTAAAGTACAATCCTTCCCCTTCCCTAGCAAATTTTGAATCCTCCAAATATCTTCTTTTTTTTTCACCGAGATATGATGATTCGAAATTATGAACTCAGATGCAACGTCCATGACAATGCTAGACAGTTATAATAACCTGCGACGTTATAACCTCCGACCCTTAAACCCCAATTTCCTTAACCTTCGAGCCTTGTAACTTGCAACGATATAATCCCCGACCCTTGCACCCCGATTTCCTAAACCTTCGAGCCCTGTAACCTGCGACGCTATAACTTCCGACCCTTACACACCAATTTCCTGAACCCTCGATCCTTGTAACCTGCGAGATTATAGCGTTGTGACATCTCAAATATCCCAAGTTGGGCTCTAATTGTGTTGCAGCCTTCTTCTGTTCGCTGATGTAGAAGTTGTAACTGGTTCTACATATCAAACTTTTGATATAACCCCAATTAATGAAATACAGCATACTCGGGTCTGGCGATCTGGGTGACCACCAAACCGGTAATGGGAAATGAAAAGGAGCACCATCCTCTGACTTTAACAACAGAATATGGACTCTGTTCAGTCCAAACGTGCTTGTTATGAAAATTGAAAATTCCTTGCGTTTTGGTTATTTTATGTACGTCTATTTCTGCTATTATAGCTAAAAACTGACGCCAGCAGACAAGCAATCCCCAGCCCGGAAATTTTGCCGAACACCTACTTTATCATAGGGAAGGGATCTTTTATATTTTTAGACAAAGTACCAACGGATTTATATTACTTCCGAGGAAACTCCTTTTTTACAAATCTTGCCTAACCTTGTATAGCTTCAGCGAATACTCGGTCACTAGAAGGTGCACGAGCATCGTGTATAGTCTTTCCGATTTCAGTTGAAGACCCAAGAACTTGAAAGTATGTACCAGGCTCGATCGCTACGCAGCAACTCGGCATTGAAATATTTGAAAAATTTGTTCCCATATTTATTTAGCCATTCCCATATACAGGTCTGGTCGAACTAAACGTGCAGGTGGTAGAAATGTATACGCCCAGTTGAAGAATAAACGTGCGGGCAAACAGCGTTCACCCACAGTTGCTCTGGTCGACTGCGTCATAAATTTCAGTTGTCGAGAAGTCGCCTGGCAGTGCAGTGCAGCAATGCGGAATTTGGTGTGATTCAGATAATTTTAATTTGTTATAGGCGCCATTCTATTAATCATTAATATTCCAATAGCGAAAGGGAGAAATAAGAGGGACATTTTGTTTACTATGGCATTTTGGAGACCTTTTGAAACGGAACAAAACGAAATTTACCATCAATATAATAAAATTGTTTGAGGACATAAATCATTAAAATATGTTGTTGGACAAATGAATATATAATAGATATTTTCTACACATTATATACAAATTATTATAATTTTTTACCTTTAGCAGAAGACTTTTTAGGGACGCCTATGAGAGACATTAAATTTTATTGCCAGGTGTTTTTTACATGTTCAACTGACTTCGGAAAGACTATACCTTTCCTGGATCATCACTTATCCAAGTGTTCAAGCTGCTTGAATTTTTAAGTCATGAATGCCAATTCGCTAAGCCGCACTCACCCTACCGCCCGTTGTAAATCTTACCTCATCCGTAAAAAGAATACAAGGTGCATTCGAAAGTAAACAGGACTTTTCAAAAATATATATTTCTAGTGAAGACATCTATTGACAATTACATGCCATGCGTCGTACTGTCAAAATTTCATAACATTTGGATGAATAGAAGCGGAGTTATTGCGTCTGAAATGACAGTATGTTCGTGTCATCGACAAAGTTCCCTCTAAGTGAGGGTGCGCAGTCGTTGTTGTATTCTGTGCAGAATGGGCTTTTTCACCATTTCATTTTATAAAAGAATTGCATCTAAAAATCCAGATTTCATAAAAAAATTAACGATAAGTAAAAATCCTTTCTTGTTTATGTGTTATTAAAATGCTTTAAAATGTAATTTTATAGTATTTATTAAAAAAAAATTGACTTCAAACACAGGCACAGGACCTCCCCACTTGCACACTCTTACAAACGTTTTGAACATTTTTGCTCCCATATACTTTTGTACCGCGCAGTCAGCGAAAAAATTTGAGGGAACATTGGTCATCGGTATACCACAAATCTAGATATGCAAAATATATCTAACCCCACAGACAAAATTCCTAACTATCGATATTTCGGAAAAGAACTACTCTATGAGCTACATTCTCTAACTAACATTGAATTACACCAACAATATCTAGTAAATAGCTAGTAACAAATAATTATTCAAAATAAAACAGACAAAAAAATTTAAAAATTACAAATTAAAAACTAAAAAAACAACCTTCGAAAACGTTTTAGAACATATGTTAATATGAACTTTTTTCCTATTCTTTGAAGTATTTTGTACTTTTCGAGACTTTTAATATTTTTTTAAAACCCTGTATATACCGGATAAGCATTTATTTTTTGACAATTTAAATAAAAACGAAAGCTCCCCAAATTTTCCCTATATGAAATAATAATATATGACTATATTAACTTACTCTTTTGTTTACTTTTAACGAAAACTGTACTAACTCTAATTTAGTTATTTATTCAGTTCAACCCAGAAACAATGTATCCTTACATAACATCTGTTTCGCTTCTCAAAATCGTCTCTGGCAGACAAAGTGTTATTCCTAAGTTATTCCTAAGTTATTCCTAATAAGTCATGTATATGAAAGTAATAGACATTAATGCAACTGACAATTAAATTTACTCGACGGTTGAAAAAAAAACGGCCTCTAATGTCATAATCTTTTAAGTCCTTCTTACTTGTAACAACTGAAACTCCCCAATCCTTTTGTTAAACTGTTTTCTGACGTGGGCGTAGGAAAAAGCAACATCACAGCACGCCTGCATTATGCCTAACGGACCAGCCGCCAAAACTAATCTTTCCAGATCCAAGCCTCTCATAAGGACATAAACCCCCTGGTTTTCAGTGCCCAAGAGATTCTCCTTCGGCACTTTACAGTCCTCAAAAATAAGCTCGCTAGTGTTTGATCCTCTCATTCCCAACTTGTCCAATTTTGGCCCCGTCTTAAAGCCTTCAAAGTCTTTTTCTATGATAAAGGTAGAAATGCCGTGTTTTTGGTCTTTTGACTTTGGATCTGTTTTTGCATACACCTAAAGAACGGTTCATATATGTACAGGTGATACACGTTGCGACAAAATTTCGGAATCGATTCGTTGAAAATGAAACAAGAAAAAACAAGAACAATTTTTTTTTGTAAAATGATTCATTAAAACCCTCAAGAACTACTGAGGATATCGACCTCAAAGTTAGTACAGTTTAGTTCTCACAATAGTAGCTTTATGTAAAATCTGAAGCAAAAACCAACCAGTGGCGTCGAAATTAGAAGGCTTCTGAATCGTCTCAATGTCAAAAGAAAGTTATTTAATACACGCAAAAAAAAATAGAGGGTGATAGAAGAAAAGACTATATTTTCCAACAAGCTATACCTACATTTCTTTGAAATTTGGTACAAGTACGTTTTTAAGGGTGCTAAATTGTTTTTAAATTTTTACCATTTGCTAAAAATCGTTATAGTCCAGTTGGTAGAGGTTCGGCCTGTGTCAAACCTTGATAACCCGGAAATAACTACACAGGCCTACTTTAAATGATGAGTACAATAACAGGCTAATTTGCTGACAAAGTATTTTATCAGGAAAAAAAGTTATTAACAATTTAATCGTGAAAAAAATTTTTTTTAGTAGTTTTCTTTAAATAACTCAGCGGGATGATTTTGTACGAAAAAATGCTTAGGACATGATTTTGTTCATAATAAAAATAGCTACAGAATGGCGGTGGTCCGATTTCGAAATTTGCAATAACAAAGCCGTGATATTGAAAAAATGGTATAAAACGTCAATTTTTTAAAGTTGCTGTAAAAATGTCAATTATAAACAAAAAGTGATAAAACTTTCGAAAACTATAGTTCAATATATATACAATAATGACGCTAAAGCCGAAAATCAGGAGAGCAAAACTTTTTGTTCTATAAGGTGTTATACATTCATCGGCATCTGAAACTCGAAACTTTGCCAAATTTGTTCGAAGCTTTGCTGACACTTGAAATTTGGTACACACATAGTGTAAATATGCAGAAACCAAAAGCAATTTGCAAAATTCAAGTATCTTCATTTTTGCAGTTTTGGTAAGATTTTATACGTCACCATAGTTTTATACGTCACCGTTTTTTTAATTTTTGGACGTATATTTATGTTTATTTATAAAATATTCCAACTACTAAAAAAAAATTTTTCACGATTAAATTGTTAATAACTTTTTTCCTGATAAAATACTTTGTCAGCAAATTAGCCTGTTATTGTACTCATCATTTAAAGTACTCCTGTGTAGTTATTTCCGAGATATCAAGAAAATGTCACCAACAGTAACTTTTCGGCCTCCCTCGGCTGGACTATTAGTTATATCTCTCCGAGTGACATTTCATTACTTTTGACTTACATATTTTTGAGGTTATGTTTTACAGTAGTTAGGTATATGTCTTATATTAAAATGTAAACTTATGTAAATTATATGTATGTACACTGTCTGTGTCTACTTAAGTTGGAACCATATGGAAAACTTTTTTATTATTGGTTTTATGAAGAAAAGTTATTCTTCATAAAAAGTTCTGCATAGTCTAAAATCTAAGATGCAACCTTCAGTTATCAAAATTTCCCAGTCATATACGAGGCATATCATAAATTATGAATTTTGCTCAAGAATAGAGTACCTTTATTTTTGACAATACAGAAGAATATTATAAAGAAAAGTTATTTTGAATTAAAAGTAATTTTCAAATACGCAAAATTATGTTTGTTTTTGTATGATGTATGATGTTTGTTTACTAAATATTCTTTGTATGGATTTTCCTATTTCTAAAACAAATAATTATTATGCATTCATTACGTATTTAAATTGCAAGGTTGTTCATAAACAATAACAAATTTAAAGGTTGTCATATTTTTAACAGATAAGAGAGATAAATACAAATAATTTATAATGTAAAACGTAAATAATCACAAAACCTGAATCTTCATGCTAAATGGCTGTAATTGCATATTTAAAAATTACTTTTAATTCAAAATCACTTTTCTTCATAACATTCTTCTGTATTATCAAAAATAAAGGTACTTTACTCTCGAGCAAAATTCATAATTTCTGATATACCTCGTATATGGCTGGGAAATTTTGATAACTTAAGGTTGTTGCATTTTAGATTTTAGACCATGCAGAACTTTTTATGAAGAATAACTTTTTTTCATAAAACCAAAGGTTTTCCATATGGTTCCAACTTAAGCCGACACGCTGTATATAAAAGAATTGTATTTAATGAAGCTACCCTTGAAATATTATCATTATTCATTTGCGACATATATGTACATATATTAAGGATACCTGTACCAAATTTCAATACATTGTTTTTTTTTTAATTTTTTGCATTCATTTACGGAACATAGGCCATTTTCAAGGAAAGGTTTCTGGTGTTTTGAATTCCTTTCATGCAATGCATTTCTCTTAATTCCTATGACACTTATTAGCTTTTGTAGCTACTATAGGAAAACTGACCTGTTTTTGAAGCTACTATGAAGAAATTTAACTGTACCAATTTTGAAGTTTACGTCTTCAATACATACTCTTGGTTATTTTTTATTAACAGGAATAAGTCCGGAAAATTTATAGCAACGTTATTACTCTTATATCGGGTGTTTAAAAGTAAAATTTAGAAATAGGCACGAAGAAAATACCTACTACTAATACGTCAGCGTCAGGACCGTTTGTAATCCAAAATTTGTTTCCATTTAACACGTAACAATCGTCTTTTTTCTCTGCTTTCAGTTTCATAGAAACGACATCAGATCCTGATCCTGGTTCAGACATCGCTAAAGCTCCGATGTGTTCTCCTGAGCATAACTGCAAATGTAAAAATTTAGAAAACAACTTGTGAAAATAATCACTTTCATCGGTACATGCATACACTTACAGTCAAAAATATTACAAGTGTTGGAGTGTTTTACGTATATTGCAAATCTTTACAGATACAAAAAATTTGCCATGAATGTTACAATGTTACAAATTACAAACACAGCATAGCGTGCTTTGACGACTAACAACGACGGCTTTTTTGTTTGTTTTTACGGGAATAACATTTCAAGCGCTTTATTTCTTGATTCTGTAGTTCTGTACTTTCTATTAGTGAGATGCCACATTCAAGTGAGTTAATTTATGTCAAAAATTGTTACTTTAGCCAATGAAGATTGCAAATAAGAATATATTTCGCCTGGAATTGCATGTTATCCAAACATCCTGTATATATATTTTAGTACATGTATATATTATTTTATAACAAGTACTAACTTATAAATGATTATTTATTACTTACTGACAATTAAAAATCGCCTGCTGAATTGCTAGCTGATAATGAATTATATAAAAACCCATCCAGCCACTCAGGCGGACGACAATAGATTTACCTTTCATACTGTTAGTCTGTAATTAGGCAATAAAAGTGTTTCCTTCAATTAAGTGTTATAATTGAAGTTATCTACGGTTAATTGTTGCTGAAATTCATCGGATTAGAACTGCTAGGGGTTGGTCAACTAGCCGCAACAAACTTACCTGTAGAGACAAACAAATAACATGAATATTCATCCAAATACAAAAAGCGGTTTTGTCAAAGACAAAAAAAGATATAGAGCGCGAAGAAAATTCCACAACTTATAGCAGTCTTATATTGTTGTTCCTTCCAACTGAATGTTTGCTTTTATAATATATGACGTACGTAAAACACTTTAATATGTATAAGACATTTAGCAATAAAAAGTGTTGAGAGAAAAATAAAAACCTAAAATAATAATTTGTCTGTTAGTGTACTCTAAAGTTAGTAATATTTTAACTGTTACATTTTATATATGAAGAGAAACCGAGTAAACATACAGGGAGATTCGTAATTGTATGTCGCAAATCTACTAAGATAATAAGCAAAGAAAATTATGAACCTTTTTTTAAATAAATTTCAGTTGGTAGGGCCTAATTACGGCGCAAAGTTCTAAAATGTTTGAAATTTCTTAATAATTTCGAAATGATTTAAAATAAAGCTTGAAAAGCTGTAGTCAAATTTCAATATAATTTTTCTTCGACGAAGAAATAAAATAATTATTGCCATCGATAAGGGAGTAGTGGAGTAATTTTTTAAAATATAAAATTAAGAATCTGGATTTTTTTAATAACCATGTTAATTTTTTCGAAATAACAGTATTTTATTTACAAATAAAACAATTAATACCTATTAATTAATTTCTGCACTAATGTCTTGCTTTTTATTGCAGATATATTGGAAAATTAGAATTATATCGAAAATCACACATCCTACCAAAAATTTTCAAGAGGTCTTATTTGTAGATAAAATATTATTTCAAGAAATTATGATAATGATTAAAAAACCTGATTTATCTATTACACGCGCACGCAAAACAAAGTCCAAACCCAAGAGACCCGGATATGACATCATTTCCGAAGTAATTCGATGCGCGAACACGATCCTGTAGTCGAAATTCATGACTTCCAGATAAATCTCAGAAAATTCATATTTGACTGAACTGGCCCAAATATGGATTTTCTGAGAAATATTGGGTTCATGGGTAAATTTTACTAATGGCATTGTGTTCAGCGCCTGAAAATAATAAGAAAATGATATATTTCAACAAAATTTAGGAAAAAATTAATTCTGACCCATGTTTGGGCCAGTTTTCACCCAATTTCACTTTTTTACGAAATTTATCGGGAAGGCATGATTTTGACTACAGGATCGTATTCAGCGCATTCAAATCCTTCGGAAATGATATGTGCATCTCTTGGGTTTGAACTTATTTTTGGGTACTACCAATAAATTATGACCCGAATGTACTTGCACCTTGCACAGCTGTATATGTAAGTGTTTTATAAGCTACACTATCTGAGTTAAAATGGTGGCATTGCTATACACGTGCTCATATCTGACAGTATTAGTATTTGTTACATTTATTACATTTATTACCATGTTATAATAGTTTAAGTGATAAATTGCCATTTTTTGAGCGTTGACCGCGATGCCCCCTGGCTGCAGACAGTTTAACTTCCTTTAAAATGTGGGCAATGACAGCAATTAGGCTATACTTTTGTCTTCTATATCTTTTATATACAGGGTGGCCAAATGAAAACGAAACAAAGCCATTTTCAGGCACTGCGTTAAGCATCACCCGAAAATATTTAAATGGCATTGGGGGCTGAGTAATATTTCTTTTGAAAGCTCTTACAATTCTATTTACAACAGACTTTAAATTTTATGATTCCGCCCAATACTTTGAAAAAAAATTACATTTTAAAATTTAAATTATGATTAGTTGCTTACTTACTACTTAGTTGATTAAATGTTCAAACTGATGACCGCCCGCTTCCATACAAGAATACAGATTTTGTTCGAAACGTTCGCGCACATTCCAAAACATTTCTGGACTGATTCGACGGCATTCGTCGACGATTCTTTGACGCAAATCTTCCAGCGACGCTGGCTGTGTTTTATAGATTTTACTTTTTAGGTATCCCCACAAAAAGAAATCAAGGGGCGATAAATCCGGTGATCGTGGAGGCCACTCAATGCTGCCTCTTCTCCCAATCCAATTCCGTAGAAAACGTTGGTCCAAATACTGACGGACAATTAACGCATAATGCGGAGGAGCACCGTCCTGTTGAAAAATCAAATGATCTTCATCATACTCTGGAACATTTTCAATAATATCAGTCAAGGCAGGGTCAATAGCGTCTTCCAGTAATTGCAAATACATTTGGCCAGTCAAATTACCAGGTAGAAAAAAAGGACCCACCAGCCGGTCACCGAAAATTCCAGCCCATACATTTAATTTTTCCGGTTGCTGTGTATGCACCTCGTGAAAAACTCTTGGGTTTGAATCGGACCAATAGCGGCAATTGTGACGATTTACCGTCCCGTTCAAGAAAAAACTGCATTCATCAGAAAAACAGATGTTAAAAAGGAACTGTGGATCGTTCCCTGCTCGCTCACTTATTATTTCGCAAAATTGCAAACGGCGGTCATAATCATCCTCATGAAGTTCCTGGACTAAATAGGTTTTGTATGGATGGAATTTATTCTTCTTCAAAACGGTTTGTATGCTAGTTCGATTGATCCAAGACACAAATGCCAGCTGCCTCGTACTTAATGTAGGATCAAGATGAACTTATCCCAAAACTGCAACTTCACTAGCTTCATTAACTATAGGTTTTTCAATTTCTCGTTTTTTATTGGCTACGTTTCCTGTCTCTTGAAACTTTTTTACTAACTCTAGAACATACTTCCTCCAATACGGTTCTGTTTCGTTTTCATTTGGCCACCCTGTATATTCTGAAGTATTACTATTGACAATACAAATATAATTAAATTTAATTCAATTTTTCTGTAATTTTCTTTCATAATCGTGTAAATAATTGTAATTGCACAAAGAGATTTTGTGCCTGGTATCTGCGCGCCGCACAATCCAAAAGACAGGAACTGCATGATGCAATACACAAGGGGGATAACTCTGTATTACCCTTGCTGACGCAAAGACATTGTGGGTATTTTTGGTGGCTAATAAAAATGAAACCGAGATCATAAATACGCAGTACATGTTGAAATTCATGCATTTGGTAAGATGTGGTGTAACTATTGCAAAATGTTTAAGGCCGCCAGATCGTCAGCTGTATTCAGGATATTGCTTTACTTTAGACTGGCATCTAATACAGCTGCTGTCAATGGAGCGGCCGAATTAATAACATCAAAATGTTTTGGTGGTGGATTTCGCTTAACATTTATTGTTGGTATCCTAAGAGGATGTGCAAAAGCAACCTATTAACTTCAACATTTATAGGTTTTAAAAAACGTGGACTCCTTGTAGCTCGCCCCTAAATCTATAAAGCGTTTACAGCGGTGGTCATGGTTATTGGTTACCGTCACGCAGCAGTGAAACACGGAGTGGGAGTAGCAGATATTTACTTTGCAATTTGGGTTTTGTTTAGTCTGCCCGTAACCAAATAATAGCTAATCACCGTTTTTTTTTCTTATTAAACGTAATTTGTTTACGTGTGGTGTGAAATGTTGTTACTTACGTATTGTTTCTTGTATGTTTTAAAAGATTGTAAAGGTTTAAATGAGATTGTTTATGTAAAGACAGACTAACAGCACTGTCGAAAAATCAATGGTGTAAGAAATACCAAACGTTAATGAAAAAGTAATTGAAAAGTTTATTTCGGACAAAAGTAGAAGAAAGGACTTTGATAATAAAAAATAATGTTGGGCACATATTGACTATATTTCAATAGTAGATACCTACTTAAAATAAAAGCACCGCCCTTCCTACTATGGAAGTCGCCACTGTTGTAAAATGATGATTATTTTGTCCGCTTAGTTCAGAAAACTGACATTTTGCGAATTATTTTTAGTTCTAAAAACCTTAATTTTGGGGAGTTTGTCCTAAAAAACTATTTAATCAATTTAAACATAAGGTGTGACTATTATTATGTATTACATTTCGCAAATAAATTTAGTTAATTACAGATTTGTTTCAACAATAGGTATATAAATGAAGCTGTATTGTAACAAAAACATCCAAATTTTAAATAAACAAAGCATACAAAATGTTATTTACATTTAAACCGACAGAATATTTTTTTAAGCTAATAGCATACTAATTATTGCGTAACAAAAAACCTTAATAAAATAAAACTCGCTAAAAGGCGCTAATTTAAAACAATTTAGACAATTAATGCAAAGTAACGAAAATGGAAAAAAATTGCGTAAGAGTTTGTAAAACTTTTTGCCTACAAAATTCCATTTTATCACGAATGAATAATACATGAAATTGTTGTCGCGGCCGATATGTTCTTAAAACCTGATATTATGAGGATAAAACCATACGAAGTATCTTTTTTTCTAAATTATATCATGTGTTTTACGTTCAGTAGCAAAACTTCTAAATAAATCAGCTGATTATATTGTTTGAATCAAATAGTTTAATTTTAAGAATTAATATGGTTTTGTGTTATGTCGATAACAATCTAGTTCTGCACATAAACTGATCCAGTTTTATTCATATTAATTCTAATTGGATAATTATCCTATTCCAGATTTATTTTAGAAACGGCCAATTTAATTTGAACGGAGAAAATTTGATTTTGCGCCCCTCAAAACTTAGTTTGTAGGAAGAGAAAACAATACAATAACTTTAACGGTACGTTGAGGTTTGCGCCCTTGGCAGACGTCCCCGCGGCCAGCTGGTCATTTATATTTCAGAAAATACGAAATGTATTTCAAATAGGTATGAATTAGCTTTTTAATGTTTGTTAGCATAAGTTTTATAATTTAACTTGCCGATTTTTTCCGAAATAGATACATTTGGCCAACTCTGAAATTAACGCTTTCTGAAATAAAAATGGAAAAAGAGTGGTTACACTCTAGGTCTAGATAATGATAAACATAAAAGTAAAGATTTCTTTTAAAACAGGTCCAAACATTTTAAAAAATCTATAAGCTGTGAAAACATTATTTAATTCATAATAAATAAAATTTATATTATGCAGGGTGGTCCGAATTTTATGCAGGAAACTTCGAGGGCAGATAGATCTCTTTAAAATAATAGATGTTTGCCTTATAAACATAGGTCTGGTACGACCCGTTTTAGAGATACAGGGTGTCGAAATTGTTAAAAAAAATAGATTTTTTGTTTATATCTCTGGAATCTATTAACCGATCTCAATAAAATTTGGTACAGTACAGTAGGCCTTGCATTCCTTAAAATATGAGCTCTAAAGGTTCAACCAGTGGTGTACAACTGGACAAGGGTCGTCCTCTACTTGGTAAATGTATTTTTATTATTATTTTGATTTAAATTGTTCTTATTTGTAAAGATAGTGGATTAAAGCTCCAGGGGAAACTAAAACACACTAGGAACACTACCTCACAGGTGATGTGGAAATAATTTTGTTGATCTGCTTACAAGTTGCACTTACATTCTTGTAATATTATGGTTTGAAGTGTCTGCCACAAGGGGGATTGTATTGGTATGAATAACTTGAGAACGGCGAATCTTAGGGAAAAAATTCAAGTTACCTTTTTTACGTATTTTGTACATTAGAATATAAATCCGTTACAATAACTTGTAAAAAAATACAGTGGCGTAGTTTTTTTATAAACAACAATTAAACAAGAAACTAAATTAACGTTACGTATTTACAGCAATTGTTCAAAATGCGAACCATCCACATCGATACATTTCTGACAACTTCTATTAATGATTAATGGAATTACCTAACTAATATCATGTGGTGGTTTTCTTTTAATTCATTACACCCGTCTTCTATTCGCTGCAGTAGTTGTGGTCTTGTATCTATTGGAGTAGAGTAAACTTTACTTTTCAGATAGAAGTCCAGGGGGTTTAGATCTGGCGATCTGGCTGGTCAAGACACTGAATTCTCTGCACCATTATGGTTGACATTGGCATTTGGTCTTCAACCTATCCATCGCCCCATATAATTTTCATTAAGTCATTCTTGTGTTATTCTCCTAAAATGCGCAGGAGCACCATCCATTTGTATCCAGCTATTTTGTGGTATATTTAATGGAACATCCTCTAATCATTCAAATAGATGGTTTTCTAGAAAATTTAGGAATGACTGGGAATTTAGATGGGATGAGAAGAAGAAAGGTCCGAATTATTCCAAGCCACACTTTCACAGAAAATTCGTATTGAAAAGATCTCTTGTGACCAAATATTGTGAAAATTCACTACCCCTTGCCTTGTCGGTTCAAAGTACTTCTAGTAAGAATTTTGGATTATGTTGTGACTTTAAAACAACCACTAACAAAAATTCAGGTATCTCTACATTTCCCGGAAGTAAATTTTGCACAGGTTGTAAATGATACGGATTTCTGCCATCCTTATGTAGAACTTTTCAAATTTTCGATTTACTCACCCCAAGTTGCCGAGACGCTCTTCGTGTACTTAGCCGAGGGTTGTCGTCAAATGTTCTTAAATTTTCATTTCTGTGCCTTTCATTGCGCCGTCGTGATTTTCCAAATATCGTTTTATCCAAAAAGATGAAAGCGACGAGTGTAAAGACTTTTGTTGATGTGCTTACAAATTTCACTTACTTTTATGCATAAACATAAATATTCTTGTAATATAGTCGTTAGAAGTATCTGCCACAAGGGGATTGTATTGGTATAAATAACTTGAGAACGATGAACTTTAGGGAAAAAATTCAAGTTACCTTTTTTACGTATTTTGTACATTAGAATATAAATCCGTTACAATAGCTTGTAACAAATACAGTGGCGTAGGTTTTTTTATAAAAAAAGGGGGTGACCATGTCCAGTTGTACACCACTGGTCAATCACTTAGAGCTCATATTTTAGGGAATGCAAGGCCTACTATCATACATTATCTGTACCCAATTTTATTGAGATCGGTTAATAGATTTCGGAGATATAAACAAAAAATGATTTTTTTTTAACAACTTCAACACCCTGTATGTCTAAAACGGGGCCGTTCTAGACCTATGTTTATAAGGCAAACACCTATTATTTTAAAGAGGTGCCTTATCTGCCCTCGAAGTTTCCTGCATAAAATTCAGACCACTCTGTAGATACGCCTTATAACAAAAAAAAATGTATTATGCCAATATTACTACAAACATTTTGGGGGTTAAAATATCAGATACTATTCTGCGCCAGTTTAGTTATCAACTTACTGCCATATAATCTATAAATGTGTCCTTTAAGAATATTCTCTTACCCAAATATTTGCCCTTTAAATTTTCGATTTAAAAATATAGAATACTGGATTTTTAAAACAATATTTCTGTAAATATCATCTGAATAAGAAATGACAACAAAAATATGTTAAAGATTCCTATATTCTGATGAAGCTACTGCATATCCTTTTTTAAACTTCAACGCCCTGGTGAGACCGTGTTTTGTGCTAATGTTAGTATAAGAAAATATTCTTAAATCTGGACTAGGAAAATATTCCTTCATTTTTTGACACATTGTGTTCTAATTAGTGAGGTCAGAAAAATGATATGGTCTTTGGTAAACAAATATTTTTTTGTAGTGTTTATGTGGAACAAATGTCCCTCTTCCCATTAATGCAAAAGTAAAAGAAATACCTTTGGCAAATATTTCAGTTTCTGTTTTTCGGTACCATTTAGGTGGATCTGATTCACACAGAGATTAGAATGGGCTACATAACTTAACCCTATAGCTGAGGAGGCTCTGGATAGTTCCTCCATAATAATGACATGATCCGTGTAGGTACCACCTGTGCCTCCATATTCGTTGCTAACAGTAATTCCTAAAACATAAAATGAAATCCGGAAGGGGGAAGGGTCTTGTTTGTACAGGGTAACAATCTTATAGTATTTATTTAGACGAATTATAATAAGGAAGTATACGACTGAACAAAGAAAAAAAAATATCTACTTATTATATTTTGGAAACAACCTTCCCGTTTTGCTTAAACAAAGAGCACATCGTAGTTCGTCAAAAATGTGAGAGAAGTTAATGCAATAAGCTTGCAAATAACTGGAAAACTATAAGACGTCTTATACATTTCTTGAAATGTGACGGTTTACTTAAGTATTTCACAAGCACAATCACACAGTATCATCTAATTACTTAAAAATTTAGTAACATTTACGGAAATACCCAAGTCCTTAGAACTGTTCCGTTTTACAAAACTTTTATAGTAATTTCTACGTCACAAACTAAGGAAAAAAATTTCATTTTAGAGACAAAGTTTAAAGAAAATCATTTTTTCTACATTAAATGGCTGAACTGATTTTATTCAGATTTACCGATCAAGTATGTATCTTTAATTTTTAATTGTCCATATAGATCAGGACGGATCTGTTTTGAGGTTGATGTGAGAGGGGGTAAACAAATTTTTTCTGGATTACCTTCAGTACAACTCACATAATAAAAGTGTAGATCCCTAGATCTGGGCGAGGTCCGGAACATTTTCAAAATTGCAAAAATTTTAAAAAATACCTATTTTATCTGAGTTTTTTACTTATATGTCTTGGAACATATGCATTTTGGAAGAATATTGAAAAGGAAAAAAGTTTTTGAATTGAATTTTGCACAATATACTGTAAGTTAAAAATGTTTAAATTTATTGCCGTTGCTGCAAAATAGCAATAATTGATGAAAAAAGGCAAATTTTTTGGATAATTTTTTTGAAATGTTTTAATTGCTCCGAGGGCATTCTGATATTGGTAAAAAAACTTTATAGTATAATAAAACAACACACCAAAATTCATTAAAATCGGTTCAAATAAAGCATCTAGATAATTGAAAATTTTTTCACATACCTAGAAAAGACCGCTCAACCTTTCAAATGGTTTTTGAAAAATCGGTTGATTAGGATGGCCACAGTAAATTTTTAAAGTCAACACTCTTTTTTTAGTTTTAAACAATAAGATTACATATATCAATTTACAATTTAGTTTTTTGCAAAAATTATAATTTTAAAATACTCAGAAAAACTTCTTTTAAAAGAAAAAGTTAAATTTCGTTTATTGGTTCTCAATATATAAGCGGTCAAAATTTATCGGCATTTACCGTTAATTTATAAACAATTTAGCAATAATCTTTGATCCAGTGGCTTCGTTATTCCGAGTTTAAGCTGGAAAAAATTTTCATATCCATAAGTTATCGGCAACATAGATAAATCAGCGGAAAAACTGTCGCTCGCATGCGCGGAAAGTGACTCAAAACACGAAAAGTCGGGGAGGGGGGCTTTCCGAGTAATTTAAAATTATAATTTTTGAAAAAAACTAAATTTCAAATTGATAAATGTAATCTAACTGTTTAAAAATAAAAAAAGGGTGTTATGTTTAAAAATTTACTGTGGCCATCCTAATCAACCGATTTCAATTTTTCAAAAACAATTTGAAAGATTGATCGGTCTTTTCTATGTGAAAAAATTTTCAAGTATATAGATGCTTTATTTGTGGCTGTACAAAATTTTGAAAATTCGAAAAATTTTTTCAAATTTTTTTTCAAAAAATTATTTTTCGAAAACTATTCAACCGATTTTAATGAAATTTGGTGTGTTGTTTTATTATACTCTAAAGTTTTTTTACCAAAATTAGAATGCCCTCGGAGCAATTAAAACATCAAAAAATATATATATTCAAAAACTTTTTTGCTTTTTTTTATCAATTATTGCTATTTTGCAACATCGGTAATATTTAAACATTTTTAACTTACAGTAAATTGTGCAAAATTCAATTCTAAAACTTTTCAATATTCTTCCAAAATGCATAAGTTCCAAGATATAAGTAAAAAACTCAGATAAAATAGGTATTTTTTTAAACATATTTGCAATTTTGAGAATGTACCGGACGTGCGTCGCCCAGATCTAGAGATCTGCACTTTTATTATGTGTTGTACTGAAGGTATTCCAGCAAAAATTAGCTTGCCCCCTCTTACATCCAAGAAGTGGAATATTTTGACAGATCGACCCCGGTCTAATAACAATATTTATATAGGTACCTTAGCATTTTTTACAAGTTTCTCTTACACTCGCGGGCAATTTTTTTTGTCGAAATAATTATTTAAATGGTGGTAATGATATTAAGTAAGCATATTTGTATATAACGAAACAAAATATTATTTATATCATTTTCCTCGATTGTCTTATGCAGCTTGAATTAAATCTTTTCATTAAATTAATAGAGCGTATTTCGATAATGAAGCATTTACAGTTATGTATTTCCATAAGCTTTCTGAAATTAGTTGGTGATTAGAATTCATGATTAAAGATTGTCCAAGCATTTTAGTTACATGCAGTATAATTTATAAATCACATCTTTAGATTTCCAAATCTGAATTGTTCCCTCAAGATAATATTTCCTCAGTTGTTTTTTTTTTGAGAAATCCAGATTTTATAGTTAAATAAATAGGTACAATTTAAAATAAAATATACAAACGATTGAACTATTGTCTAAATATTAACAAAATAGCATTGTACATTTTTTTGCTTAAAATAAAATTATCACAATTTTTTGCTTTGGCGCTACTTTCATGAAACTTTTTAATTTTTTTTACAGTTGGGTTTTCCAAATTAGTGTCCAAATAGTTCTTCTTAATGATATGATAATTTTTTTTCGGATATTGTCAAGTCACATTTTCGTCATTGTTACTTAACCGCAAGATATGGGCGGTGAATCATATATGGATATATCTTTGAGGGTTAAATTCACCATAATGACCACAGTCAATGACGTCGAAGAATATTTCGACATATTTCAATGTTGAAATATAATCTACTTGTTATTTCATAATATGCCTTATCATTTATATATCATTTTATAAACATTTATTATAATAATAGGTGTTTATTAAAGTAACGGTAATATATACCTAACTTTTTAAAAAGTGTTTATTGACTATAATCCGCCGAGTTATTTATTTATTTTATGAAATAATCTGTCTTACCTAAACAACCTAAGTCTCCCAATTTCTTCCAAAAATTCCTCAAGTCGTCAAACTTATTGTTCTTATCGATTTCGTTGGCTTTTGGCGCCAACTCTTTTTGGACAAAGTTAAAGACTGCATCTCTGAGCTAAATGTTGTTTTAGATTGTATTTTGCTACAAGTCTTGTTTACACAAACAACATGCAAATAATTATGTATTTACATCAATAACTTACTTGTATTTGTTCATTTGTTAGTCCGAAAATGTATTCATCAATGGGATAATATTGGGATACGCATCTCTTGCTGTTAATTCTATTTAAGTTTCTAAACAATCTACTGAATTTTAAAGCCATCACTTAATGAATGTGTTCTATTGACTTATTGTGTCAGTGACTACAAATATTTTACTTCAAGGTTGTCTTGTTATCTATAGTATGTAGTACTTATTTACATATATTCTAACTTCAACTTAGAATGCAACGAAATGTTTTACTGGCGGTATATTTCAGTTTACTTTGTAGCCATACAAATGTGAAAAGTTTAATTCTATAAAATTACATGTGAATGTTAGACTGGAATTAAGTTGTGTAGGATTTGAAGTGTTTCGTAAGGAGAAATAAACGGCTGAAAAGGGTGAGAAGGGTGGAAATCAGTTGTCGATTATTACGATGACATGTGAATATTTGTTTTCTTCTTGCGGGCGTAAATATATGCGTAACTAAAGAAAAACATAAATCCGATCAGGACTTGACGATTGTGATAGCGAGATGATACTTTCTTAGTGAGTGGGTACTAAATATGTCTGTAAATAATTTGAAAACATAACTGAGCATAAATATAAATGTGTCCAGTTAACATTAAAAGTGTACAGTGTGTGATATATCTACCGCACAATCAATAAGCAACTGTTGTACTACTTATCATCAAACTCTTTTATATATTTTCGTACTGTTTTTGACACTCCTCCCGGTGACAACTCCAGGTGTGCAATGGGTGTTAAGGTCAAACTCACAAACATCCACTTGGAGGGCTCCATGCGTCTTGTGGCTCTAATTAGCCTGAGGACACCTTCCCGACTAATCCACCAGCACCAGGTGCAAGTGTTAATGAATGCAAAGGGCAAACTCGCTATGCACCCCACCTGAGTACCGGGACAAACACATACGACACACACAAAAAAATTATTCATGGATCTCTACACTGTCAGTACTGACGAGCAAAACAGTAAAGTGCCTCAAATGCATAGACAATTTATTCACATCAAATGTCAATTGTCATGATTAGTACTTTAATTCATATTTCTTCAAAAGAACATACAGCCTAATTAGTGACGGTCGCCAAATCAAATAGCTAACTTCTCAATCAGATTGACAACGTAAATTTATATAACACCTCTAACAATTATTATTTTCAAGATAATATAGCAATGTTCAGGATATATGTAAATAAGAGTACTCAGTAAGAAAATTTATAGCAATATGTAAAACTATACTATTAGAAAGACAAGCTCAGTGAGAAAATTTCTGAATTATATGAATTTGCTATTATTGCTACTAAATAATAAATTCCTGCTCAGTGAGAAAACTCACGAATTATATGAATAAGCCATTATTCCAACTAAATAGGTAGGTATGCTTAGTGAGAAAACCCACCTAAAATTCAATATTCAATTGTGGCACAATTCACAATGTTTTCACGTCACAGTCTTTACGTAAATTGATTTGTTTTCAAAATTTAGGCAAAAGGACCTATTTGGAATTTGTAATCTAAACAAAACTAATGAACTAATGAGCGTCAACTAACCACTTGAGCTGTTGATATTGATAAATTCGTAATATCTAAAATAGGGTCTTAATGCAGGGTGTAAAAAATACTGTCGTACAGTTGGTACCACTATAAAAGTGATTACTTGAACCTATTTAAGAAAGCATTTGTGAATCTATGTTCTTAAGGGCTTAGCTTTCGCGTCTTAAAGTTTGAAAAATTTGACATTTATAAATATAAAATGTTTAACGCAGAATGTAGAAACTGGGGATACCAGTTGAACAATAATCTCAATCTGTAATGAAGAAACTCGGGGATACTGCCTCAGAATTTCAAAGTTACTTTGTATTTTGAAAATTAGATTGATTCATTTTATTTCTAATTGTATTTAAAAATATGTAGTTTAGAATTACCTATTAATTTAAATCAGATTAATATACATCAGAGTGAAATCAATCGACAGTAACTTCAAACTATTCATTTTATAAAGAAATCTATAGAAATTTCTTGTTAGAAATAATACAATTTTAAATACAGTGTACATATCAAAAACTCCAAAAAATAATTAGTCTTTGAAATTTAAAATTGGGTCAGTGCTTTTTTGGACATTTCATGATGACGTAGCTGAAATCATGTTTATAACAAAAAAATCAAATGCAGTATGTACCTATATCCATGTAGAATATGGATTCATAATGAGCCTTGAAACAATTCAGCTAAAGTTACACCCTGTATATTTGAAATAAAAGTTCCCTATACGTTTTGAATGACATGGTTAGATAAACTATCTTCAACAGTATTTGTTCTAATTCCAATTTGTCACAAAGAGTGATGATTTCGATTCCTGTTTGAGGTAATTTCTCGAATTTCGCAGAAACTCAACATCATCTGCCTAGTTCAATGACTTCATCTCCCGACATCCAATGAAACAGAGACGATGTTATGCTAACCATTCTAACATATCTCCTATCTCCAAGGTCAAGATTTTTTGGTGTCTGAATGTATTTTTTTATTAGAGCATAAAAGGAAAAAACCTTGGAAATGTAATTAACACCACAAATTTTAACGTGTATTGGTTACATGTACCATGTACTCATCCTAAAATACTTTAAATCCTGATTAGCAGTAGGTACTAATACGTCAACAATACTAGTGATTCCTATTATAACAATAACATTCCATTTAATCATCATTAAACTAAATTAACACAATAAAACACATCATTGGATTTAGAAAAATTAGAAAATTGAAAGAATTATGTTGGATTAATAAATTATTATTTAATTATTTATTATTCCACCAATAAAATATACCTAATTTAAATATATAAATACAAAATGAAAAGCTTAATATGTTGTGGTTATAAAAATGTTTATCTTGGTCTAATATCCTGTCTTTGTGACAAAGGCTAATCTTTAAGTACGGATTTTGATATAAATGTTTATACCTACAATGCTACTGATATACTCGTACTAAAGCTTCCTCCAGTCTATTGGATCATACCTCCGGATATGTCAAAAACCTTCCGATTTATTTAATAGACCTACGCAAAAATTTTATGTCTGTTTAAGTATGTATGCCAGAAATGTGTGGTTAAATTTCATATTTTAGGAATGGGACGTTTTGCACATTTTGCCCAGTAATTGTTTGGTGTTACTTGTTGATGTTGTTTATGATAGATTTGTGCTATGGTTTAATTTTTCGTATTATGATTGTATTATGAATCAGGACCCTTTTATTTTTTAACTTAGAAAAAAGTTTCTTATAAAAATTGTACCTAAGGTATTTTTAAAAAATTTATTTTTTTCGTCACATCCCGATTTAATAATTTTAATATTTGTAAGTTTTTCTGATTTCAGTAGTGTTGTAGCTCACTGCAATTTATTATCATTATTATTGATTTCAATAAATGTATATTTTAATAGGTACTTATGTTTAAGATGGCAATGCCCGCGTTGTTAGTGTAAGTATAACTTTGAGCAGGACATATTTTCCTGTCTTTACACTCATAAAATTTGTATGTTCAAGAACATATCCAAGAACATATCGTAACTCAAGCTCAATTATATTTAAACAATAAATTCTTATCAATGGTCCTTCGAGTTTTTAATTGGAAACTACATTTTGACACACTCGCCCGGATGGAGATCTCCCAGATACAAGTGCAACAAGCACTATATCACATGTTTGCTTTTTGCTCCAGTAACTTTTTCAAAAATTACTATAGAAACCTGTTATTTTCTATACGTTATTTACTTTCTCAGTTAAAACAAAATTCTGATATTTTGAAGTATTTGGCACTTTACCTTTTATAGATCTCTTGCGTAAAATCTGATTAAAATGTAGAAAATTACATTAAATTCTCAGAATCAGTAATACATTCGAAATAAACGTAAATGTATCATCATTAGAGATCGGAAATGTTAGAACGGCTACAATATGGTACCGGTTTCGCTCGAAGGTTCGCTGTAGGTCTGGTTCTCTTATATATACAATATAAGAATATAGGTACTGGGTGTCCCAAACCACCCGTCCACCAATTTTAAAATCCAAAGTACGTGGTTAGGTATGTGAAAAATGGTTCAGATGAAAGTTACTGGCCTCCAAGAGGCGCATACTGTTGTGACCTTGTCTGTGACCTTGAAGGTCATTTTCAAAGTTTTTTTAATGGAAACCCTTTTTTTCAACCCCGGATTCGGAAAGAGCGGAAAATTCTACGTTCAGATGATGTATCATGTGTGGGGTCCATTTGATTCCCCAAGGTGTTAATGTATAACATAACATAATGACATAATAACATAAAATCATAATAAGAAAGTTATTTTCAATGTTAATAAGATAAAACTGTTTTTTATGTAATGCAGTTGAAAAAGTACTTAGATACAAAAAGAAACCATAAACAATAAAACAAAATTGACCTTCACGTGACCTTGGGCGTCAAATGGATACCACACATGATACATCAACTGAACGTAGAATTTTCCGCACTTTCCGAATCCGGGGTTGGAAATAAGGATTTCCATTTAGGTAAAAAATACTAAGTTGACCTTGAAACGACCTTGAAAACGACATTCAAGGTCACAGGCAAGGTCACGATAAATGTGCCGTTTGGAGACCAGTAACTTTCATCTGAACCATTTTTCACATAACCATATACTTTGGATTTTAGAAAGGGTTGTCGGGTGGTCCGGGACACCCAGTATATGTATTTGCATAACAGTATAAAACAAAACGGGGCAGTGTCTATTTTTCTACACTAAACGCTTCACACGGAACTCACCATAAAATGTACGTAATAATAGGTAGCAGCAAAAGTTAACAAAATAATAATATCTAACTTATAAGAAAAGCGATTGTAGAAAATAATTAACAGTTGTCCAAAGTGTTCTGCGGTTAATCGTCTTCGGCAATCGATAAATACCCATTTCAAAAACGAAAATGACCGTTCAACATTTACCGATGATATCTAAAATATTCGAGGTTTTTAACAGATGCTTTTTTTATTAATGGTCGCGAAACATCAACTACTTCACATTTTAGTAATTCCACTATCGGCATCATTGTAGCTACAATAACATGTACATGTCTGCCACTGATCTGAAGCTTCGCATCGATCAATTTATTCGATAGGTATCTAATGGCATGGTAATACCTACACTGTCGGCTTGGCGATGGCGTGTTGGTGAACAATTCAAGTTTTTTTGCTGAGGGAGGTTGGCCGCGCATTTCATTGTCATTTGTGCGTGTGTGAGTGAGTTTAACGGTTTGCTTGGTCGAGTGTATGGCACTTGTTTTTTTGGCAGTCAGTAGCATTGTGTATCGAGAGAGAGCATAGAGCGGCACACGGCTTAACCACAGGTTTAGCCTATTTCTGATATTACGAGTATAACGCGTATTGCTGCTTACTAGCATAATATCTACTGCTTATTTATTTGATATTTGCCACAAAGTTTCCGATGTCTAGTTATCATAGATAAAATAAAACACCTAGTCACTGATATATATGTAAATGAATGTATTTATTTATTTAAACAAACACTAGCATGAATTAAAAGTACCTGTAAAATATTTAAACCATTTTATGATACTAGTCTGAAAACAGATATTCAGTTTTGTAAATTATTCATATCAATAAAAAATTTATTCTCATATACTTATGTACTAATAGTCTCATACAATATATCACATATATACATCACAAAGTAGTTAATTTTAGAATTAGTATTATATTCCTAAGTACTACCCAACTTAAATAAAAATATTTAAATATTTCACTTATATTTTTAAGATGTGTCAGAAATAAGAAGGTAGTTACTGATATCTTTTTTGATGGTAACAAAGTAATACAGTTTAATGTTTTAGAGACTGCTCTGAAATTTCTCAAATTTCATTTACAGTAACAACGAAATATATATAATTTTTTTTAAACAAATTTATACTTCGTTTCCATTAAGGAGTTCTATTTCTTTTTTGATTGTGAGACACCTTATTTATAAATAAAGTTTACACTTTTCTAATTAGTAGGTAAAATATGAATCCATTAACTTTTTTATTCATAGAACAAAAACCAGGATACCTACACTGAGAAAAATAAGTATATTTAACAGCTGGCCAGACACCACAAATTTATCAATTCGAAAACCGTGGCGTTTTTCGAATCAAGGGAAAAAATCATGTGTTTAGTTAACCAATTATTACACGAGGCATTATGAAAGAATGCGGATGGTTTTCGACACTCTTTCTTCTGGAGTGAACATATATATA